TGTTGCAGGTCTCCCTGATGCACAGTGCACGCATAGTGGCCGACCTGCTCCTTTCTTGCTATACGGGCGCCCTGGAATTCGCCGTCAGGGACATTGTTAACTACCTGACGGCCGCCTCCTACCTGCAGATGGAGCACGTGGTGGAGAAATGCCGGAATGCCCTCAGCCAGTTCATCGAGCCCAAGATAGGTCTCAAAGAGGATGGGGTCAGCGATGCCAGCCTTGTAAGCAGTGTCAGTGCCACCAAATCCCTCCTCCCTCCCGCCAGGACCCCGAAGCCAGCCCCCAAACCCCCACCCCCACCCCCTCTCCCCCCTCCACTCCTGCGGCCTGTGAAGCTGGAGTTCCCGCTGGATGAGGACCTAGAGCTGAAGGCCGAGGAAGAGGATGAGGATGAGGACGAGGACGTGTCTGACATCTGCATCGTCAAGGTGGAATCGGCCTTGGAGGTGGCACACCGGCTCAAACCTCCCGGAGGCCTGGGAGGAGGCCTGGGCATCGGAGGCTCTGTGGGCAGCCACCTTGGGGAGCTGGCCCAGAGCAGCGTGCCCCCCAGCACTGTGGCTCCACCGCAGGGCGTGGTGAAAGCCTGCTACAGCCTGTCCGAGGACGCAGAAGGGGAGGGCCTGCTGTTGATCCCAGGAGGCCGGGCCAGTGTGGGGGCCACCTCAGGCCTGGTGGAGGCAGCAGCGGTGGCCATGGCTGCCCGGGGGGCGGGGGGCAGCCTGGGGGCGGGGGGCAGTCGGGGACCCCTGCCCGGAGGCTTTTCCAGTGGCAATCCCCTAAAGAACATCAAGTGCACCAAGTGCCCGGAAGTGTTCCAGGGCGTGGAGAAGCTGGTCTTCCACATGCGGGCGCAGCATTTCATATTCATGTGCCCGCGCTGCGGCAAGCAGTTCAACCACAGCAGCAACCTCAACCGCCACATGAACGTGCACCGCGGCGTCAAGTCGCACTCGTGTGGCATCTGCGGCAAGTGCTTCACACAGAAGTCCACGCTGCACGACCACCTCAACCTCCACTCGGGAGCGAGGCCCTATCGCTGTTCCTACTGCGATGTGCGCTTCGCTCACAAGCCTGCCATTAGGCGGCACCTCAAGGAGCAGCACGGCAAGACCACGGCCGAGAACGTGCTGGAGGCCAGCGTGGCTGAGATCAACGTCCTCATTCGCTAGCGCTAGCGTGGCAGGCGCTGGGTCACTGGGCTGGGGGGGAAGGGGGCTCCTTGGTCCAGGAGAATAGGGGCGTGTGGGGGGCAGGGGCAGGCAGGTACGGTGGGGAGCCTGAGCAGACACACACATCCTGAGGGAGGGGCCGAAGATTCCTTAGAGAGAAGACCCTGCCTCTTCAGAAGAAAAGGATGAACAGGGAGAGAGTTCTTTGAGAAGGCCAAGGGAATAGGGGGGTCCCAGAGAAAGATTTTCTTCTCTTGGAGGTGCATGGATATGTGGAGGGAGGGAAAACGTCCTATGGGATGAGGAGGGAAAAAGACTGGAAAATATTTTATTCCTGGCTATGGCTGCCCAGGAAGAGGTTCTGGCATTTTGTGAGGTAGGGGGTGGGTGGGTGGGAATTGGGAGGGAATTTGGCAGGAGGCAGCTTACCTGCTCCTGCATGGACTAGATCCTTGGGAGAGGGAGTGGTAGGGGGAAAGGATTATTGAATTCCGGAAAAGGAAGGGGGAGACAGTTCTTGCATGCTGGGGAAATGGGATGGGTACAAGGCTCACCAAAATTCTAGGGAGAACAAAAGAAGATGGCAGGTAAGAGAATACGGGGGTGAGCATCCTGGGTAAATACTGGGAAGGGGAGTACAATAGCAGGAACTATGAATAGTGGTGGGGGTGGGGGGTAGGGCACTGAGATGAGAGGCGGCAAGGAGGGCTGTTGCGGTGGGGGAGGGAGAGGAGTAGAGACTTATACAGTATTTTTTAAGAAAACAAAACGTATTTTTTAGGATTTTTTCTGGAGTTTGGGGTTTTAGTTTTTCTGCTTTTGTTTTACACAAAATAAAAAGAAAAAATCAACTTTTTTTTCTTTATACTTTATCTGGCAACTGCGTGTAAATGACTATCCCACCCTAGACCACCTCACCCTCTGATGCAATTTTCTAAGTAACCAGAGGACACAACTCATGCAGGTCTCATGCCTGAAGGAGCCTTGAGAGGGGAAGGGGAGTGTGACAAGTGGGCTCCTCTGGCCAGAGACCCTCCCAGTTCTGCATCCTCAACTCCTGGCAGATACCTCACAGCACAAGTGTTCTGTGATTGTTTGGCGGAGGTGTTAACAAATGACCTACTCTAGTTGAGGAGTTTGGTATCAGGGCTAGGGATGGGATGTAGGCGTGATCATTGTGCCCACCAAAATTGTAAGCTGGAGCCTGTGTTTGGGCGTTTTTGGTCTGGGGAACGGGTTCCTGTCCTGAAGAAAGATAAAAACCACTGGGTTAAGATGCGGAGAAGACTACAATTCCCAGAAAGCTCTGGAATAGTTCTTAACCGAAGAGAACTACAGTTCCCAGAAGGCCTTGAATTGGCCTCAGGTGCCCTATACCCTATCCACTTGCCTGTGTCAAATATCGCATGTGAGATACATTTTCCAAACTTTGACCAGATGTAAATACCTAAAGAGATGGTACTCTAAATACTGCTCTCAAAGTTGTGTGTCCTGGTGTAATATCACTCATACTTCCACTGTTGGCTGGGCTGTGACCAACGGAGTGCCTGCTATGCTTGTGAAGTGTTTGGCAAAATAAGTTTACTTATTAGAGTGTTACCAGACAGTAATGACTCGGGCCTCTGGGGGCTTAGCTGGATCTCTAGTGCATGTGGTGGCGTGACATGTCTGGCATAAATGGAAGAGACATTTAGCTCCAGGTTTTCAAAAGGGATCGCTGCTCCAGGGGACACTTGAAACTGCATGCTAGAACCAGCCAAGAGTAAAGGTGTCCTCCGCGCGTCCCCATCGCCCCCTTCTTGCTCGTTAGAGAAGCGAGGCCAAAACTGAGGCCGAGTCTTCTATCTAGTGACCCAGAAGCTAGAAAGCAACCAGAAGCGGGAGAAGCACACATGGGCAGGACTGGAAATACAGCCACTGCCGAAAGCCGGGAGGCTCAGTCGCTCCGCTATTTACCTAAAGCCAGGTGGCAGATGGAGAAGCCACACCTGGACCCAGGCGTGCCTCGCCTTCGGTTCCAAGCTAAGATGAGGCCAGGAATGGCAGGAATTCTCCTCTGCAGCCCCCAGCTTAGAACAGGAACTGCCATCTCTGAGGCCGCCCTCCGGGGAAAATGGCCAGAAAGTGCGTAGTGGCTCCTTTAAGGCTCCTCCTAGCCCTCCCTCCTCGCCCACGTGACCCGGGGCGGCCGCGCGCCGGCTCGGCCCCCAGCGCAAGCGGCGATGGCGGCGGCGGCGGGAGCTGCAGCGGCGGCGGCCGCCGAGGTGCGGAAGGGGAGGGGGAGAGGCGGGTGCATGCCCGCGCGCGCGCCCGGGGGAAGCGCGCGCCCGTGCAATGCTCCGGGGGTGCATCGGGGCCGGGGGGCCCGGGCGAGACTTGCAGCAATCCGGAGGGCCAGCACCGGGGGCGGATGAGGGGACCAGGGGGTGGGAGGTGGGGGGAGTGGGCACCGAGGCGCGCGTGCAGCCGCCGGCTGCCCCCGAGTGGGCAGCGGGCGCCGGCGCCCCAGGAACACGCGCGAGGGGCACGAGGGGCCGTCCACCGGGCTGGGGGACAGCGGGTGCTGGAGGGGTTGGTGCCCGGGGTCCCCGCGGCCTGGGGGACAAAGGGGGAGAGGCGCGTGCAGCCGGGAGGAGGGGGCGGGGCCGGGGTGCGGAGGCCCCGCCCCCTCCCCCTCCTCTCTTCTCGGTCCCTGAGATGCGGGGTCTACCGAGAGGGAGAGGGCTGATGCGGGTCCGGGGGAGGGGTCGTGCGGCCCCTCCGGGCAGCCGTGGCCGCGGAAGGGGGGGGCCCCATAGAGGAAGAGGTAGGCCCCGGAGCCTCCTGTCTCTTCCCAGGGCCCAGGCGTCCTGGGCCCCTCAGCTTCCTACGGGACTGACCAGCTCTCCTATCCCTTGTGTCCCCTCCCAGGGGGAGGCCCCCGCTGAGATGGGGGCGCTGGTGCTGGAGAAGGAGCCCAGAGGAGCCACTGAGAGAGGTGAGTGCAGCAGAAACAGGCCCAGTTGGACCTTCACCTCCGCCAGCACAGGATCTCTTGAGCCCTTAGCCCTGAACTTTTTCTCTTCCATTACAGTTCATGGCTCTTTGGGGGACACCCCTCGTAGTGAGGAGATCCTGCCCAAGGCCAACCCCGACTCCCTGGAGACTGCTGGCCCCTCATCCCCAGCCTCTGTCACGGTCACCGTCGGCGATGAGGGGGCTGACACCCCTGTAGGGGCCACACCACTCATTGGGGATGAACCCGAGAATCTCGAGGGAGATGGGGACCTCCATGGGGGCCGCATCATGATGCATGACAGGCCAACGAGCCTGGGGGTGAGGTGGGGCATTCTCTGACTTTGCCTTCCCTCTTATCTTGTCTCCTGCCTGCTTGCCTGTGTTTTTCAGGCCATGCCACGAAGTCATTCCCGTCTTCCCCCAGTAAGGGGGGTGCTTGTCCCAGCCGAGCCAAGATGTCAATGACAGGGGCCGGAAAATCACCCCCATCAGTCCAGAGTTTGGCTATGAGGCTGCTGAGTATGCCGGGGGCCCAGGGGGCAACAGCGGCAGGCCCTGAACCTCCTCCGGCCACAGCCAGCCCGGAGGGGCAGCCCAAGGTCCACCGAGCCAGGAAAACCATGTCCAAACCAGGAAATGGACAGGTGAGGCTTAGGGGGAGGTTTGTGGGGGTGGGAGAGACAGGGTAATTAACCATAAAACTCTTGTGGGCTGCGTTTTTACAATTTAACTTCAGGTCTTTTTTTCTCCAGTCACTGCTTCACATATTTACCAAGGCGCTACTGTGTGTCAGGCTCCTTTAAGGCTCCTCCTAGCCCTCCCTCCTCGCCCACGTGACCCGGGGCGGCCGCGCGCCGGCTCGGCCCCCAGCGCAAGCGGCGATGGCGGCGGCGGCGGGAGCTGCAGCGGCGGCGGCCGCCGAGGTGCGGAAGGGGAGGGGGAGAGGCGGGTGCATGCCCGCGCGCGCGCCCGGGGGAAGCGCGCGCCCGTGCAATGCTCCGGGGGTGCATCGGGGCCGGGGGGCCCGGGCGAGACTTGCAGCAATCCGGAGGGCCAGCACCGGGGGCGGATGAGGGGACCAGGGGGTGGGAGGTGGGGGGAGTGGGCACCGAGGCGCGCGTGCAGCCGCCGGCTGCCCCCGAGTGGGCAGCGGGCGCCGGCGCCCCAGGAACACGCGCGAGGGGCACGAGGGGCCGTCCACCGGGCTGGGGGACAGCGGGTGCTGGAGGGGTTGGTGCCCGGGGTCCCCGCGGCCTGGGGGACAAAGGGGGAGAGGCGCGTGCAGCCGGGAGGAGGGGGCGGGGCCGGGGTGCGGAGGCCCCGCCCCCTCCCCCTCCTCTCTTCTCGGTCCCTGAGATGCGGGGTCTACCGAGAGGGAGAGGGCTGATGCGGGTCCGGGGGAGGGGTCGTGCGGCCCCTCCGGGCAGCCGTGGCCGCGGAAGGGGGGGGCCCCATAGAGGAAGAGGTAGGCCCCGGAGCCTCCTGTCTCTTCCCAGGGCCCAGGCGTCCTGGGCCCCTCAGCTTCCTACGGGACTGACCAGCTCTCCTATCCCTTGTGTCCCCTCCCAGGGGGAGGCCCCCGCTGAGATGGGGGCGCTGGTGCTGGAGAAGGAGCCCAGAGGAGCCACTGAGAGAGGTGAGTGCAGCAGAAACAGGCCCAGTTGGACCTTCACCTCCGCCAGCACAGGATCTCTTGAGCCCTTAGCCCTGAACTTTTTCTCTTCCATTACAGTTCATGGCTCTTTGGGGGACACCCCTCGTAGTGAGGAGATCCTGCCCAAGGCCAACCCCGACTCCCTGGAGACTGCTGGCCCCTCATCCCCAGCCTCTGTCACGGTCACCGTCGGCGATGAGGGGGCTGACACCCCTGTAGGGGCCACACCACTCATTGGGGATGAACCCGAGAATCTCGAGGGAGATGGGGACCTCCATGGGGGCCGCATCCTGATGGGTGAGAGGCCAAGGAGCCTGGGGGTGAGGTGGGGCATTCTCTGACTTTGCCTTCCCTCTTATCTTGTCTCCTGCCTGCTTGCCTGTGTTTTTCAGGCCATGCCACGAAGTCATTCCCGTCTTCCCCCAGTAAGGGGGGTGCTTGTCCCAGCCGAGCCAAGATGTCAATGACAGGGGCCGGAAAATCACCCCCATCAGTCCAGAGTTTGGCTATGAGGCTGCTGAGTATGCCGGGGGCCCAGGGGGCAACAGCGGCAGGCCCTGAACCTCCTCCGGCCACAGCCAGCCCGGAGGGGCAGCCCAAGGTCCACCGAGCCAGGAAAACCATGTCCAAACCAGGAAATGGACAGGTGAGGCTTAGGGGGAGGTTTGTGGGGGTGGGAGAGACAGGGTAATTAACCATAAAACTCTTGTGGGCTGCGTTTTTACAATTTAACTTCAGGTCTTTTTTTCTCCAGTCACTGCTTCACATATTTACCAAGGCGCTACTGTGTGTCAATTTCTGTACTGGGGCTTAATCTGGAACAGACAGGTTTCTATCTTCCTGGGGTTTACATTCTTAGGCAGAGGGGAGTAGAAAACACTAATGTGAAAGAGTTAATTATATAGTTAATGTCTTAATTACTCTTATGATAATGACTAGAGAAACTTCAAACCACTTTTCCTTTCTAGCTCAAAGCAGGCCCCAAGGGAGCTTCTCCCTTCTTTGAAACTGCCCCTGCTGTTTTAAAGGTTTTACTATGAATCTCTACAGGGAAGGAGCTGAGGGCCACAGAAACATCCGAGGAGGGAAATGACAAGAGCCCCAGAATCTCAGAAGCTTTATGACAGTGTTTTTAGGGCTCTTGGCATCAGTGTTAGATGTGGGATGTGCTTGACACAATTCTTATTATTGGCACGGAACTTCAGATGGCATTTTTTGAGGGTGTGGCTCACCACCCCACCCCCACCTGGGGCTTGGCTCTAAACTAATCCAGGCAGAACCATAGATGCTCCCTGACCCTAAGTGTGCTCCCTCTCCGCCCCCAGCCCCCAGTCCCTGAGAAGCGGCCCCCTGAAGTGCAGCATTTCCGCATGAGTGATGACGTGCACTCGCTGGGGAAGGTGACCTCAGGTCAGTCCCACCCCGCACCTACCTGCAGCTTGCTATGGCCTGTGCTAAGGATTTAGAGTACGGGCCTCACTCCTTTCTCTCTCTCCTTCCAGATGTGGCCAAAAGGAGGAAGCTGAACTTGGGAGGTGGCCTGGTGAGCCAGGAGAGGCAGGGAACAGGGCCTGGGCCTCTCCACCTGGGGGGCTGCTCTGAGGGATCCTAGGAGCTGGAGCTCCATCTCGCCCTCAAGGGAAATGGGGTGTTGGTGAGGGAGTGCCAGCAGCTTCAATTTTTTTCTTTAAATCTTTTTCTAGTCAGAGGAGTTGGGTTCTGCACGGGGTTCGAGAGAAGTGACCCTGGAGAAGGGGGACCCCGGGTCCCTGGAGGAGTGGGAAACAGTGGTGGGGGATGACTTCAGCCTCTACTACGATTCCTACTCTGTGGATGAGCGGGTGGACTCTGACAGCAAGGTAAGAGGCAGCCAGCTGCCCTCCTGGCCAGTGCTCCCCCACGTCCAGGGCTCGCTCTCCAGTCTTTCCTGCCCCACTTTCTTCTCTCTTTCCTTTTCTGAACACCCACTAACTCACTGCCCCATACTGTCTGTAACTTATTTCCAGCGTGTGCTCTACCCCATACCATCCCCTTGCCCCTCTCCACAGTGATAATCACCATCCTGGACTTCGGGTTTAACATCCCATTTTATGGTTTACTTGTTCTTTGTTTGCTTGTTTATTCATTTGCTCCTTGTTTGGTTTTATTTCACATATATGTTTGTCCATGCAGCATAATGCTTAGTCTTGCCTGTTTTGCTTTTCATTCGTTTTATCGTGGAAACTTTCAAATATACACAAAAGAATAGAATAGTGAGCCCCCAGGTAGCCATCACCCAGCTCCAAGTTACACAGCTGATCTTGACTCATCTCTTCCTCCCCAACACCCACACTTACTGGATTATTTCAGAGCAAATTGCAGATACCATATCATTTTATCTAGAAATATTTCCACAAGTATCTCTAAACATAAGACCTCTTTCTGTTTTTAAAAAATTTACAATTTTTTTTTTCTGCCGTGCAGTATGTAGGGATCATAGTTCCCCAGCCAGGGATCAAACCCATGCCCCCTGCAGTGGAAGTGGGGAGCCCTTCCACTGGACCACCAGGGAAGTCCCTACAAATGATGCTTTAACACCATCACCTTGCTACCAGTCAGTCTTCACATTTTCTCGGTTGTTTCATAAATGAGTTTTCGTCTGTCAGGTTTCAGTGGGGTCCACACATTGATTTGATTATTTGTCTTAGGTCTCTCTTGATGTATAGGTTCCCTATTTTAAAAAAAAACAAGGGCTTCCCTGGTGGCGCAGTGGTTGAGAGTCCGCCTGCCGATGCAGGGGACACGGGTTCGTGCCCCAGTCCGGGAAGATCCCACATGCCGCGGAGCTGCTGGGCCCGTGAGCCATGGCCGCTGAGCCTGTGCGTCCGGAGCCTGTGCTCCACACAACGGGAGAGGCCACAACAGTGAGAGGCTTGCATACTGAAAAAAAAAACAAAAAAACTTGCCATTTATGTATTGAAGAAACCAAGTCGGTTATCCTATAGAATTCTTCACATTTAGGAGTTGGCTGTTTGGGTGGGGATTAACACATAACTCTCTGCCCAATGTTGCATCACATCAGGCGTGGAACATTTGTTCTTTTATTAGTGAAGTTAAGATCAGTGGATTCAGGAGATATCAGCCTGACTTCATTATAGCGTTTATAGTTTTTTTTTTGTTTTTTTTTTTTAATCTTTGGCTGTGTTGGGTCTTCGTTGCTGCGCGTGGGCTTTCTCTAGTTGCAGCGAGCGGGGGCTACTCTTTGTTGCAGTGCATGGGCTTCTCATCGCGGAGGCTTCTCTTCTTGCAGAGCAGAGGCTCTAGGTGCACGGGCTTCAGTAGTTGTGGCTCGTGGGCTCAGTAGTTGTGGCTCGTGGGCTCTAGAGCACAGGCTCAGTAGTTGTGGCGCACGGGTTTAGCTGCTCCGCAGCATGTGATTTCTTCCCGGACCAGGGCTCGAACCCATGTCCCCTGCATTGGCAGGCAGATTCTTAACCACTGCACCACCAGGGAAGCCCCTCTAATTAGTGTTTCATTTAATGTTTTCAGTCTTGCCTCTTTATGAACTTCATCAAGAGTCTCCTACTATATGTTTGTTATCTAGAACATATTCCTTTCTTTTCCTGTTTACTATTATGTTGCAAAGATTCATCATGTTGTTGCATGTCACCATAGCACCTTATTTTTTTTATTTTTATTTATTTATTTTTTTTTTTGTGGTACGTGGGCCTCTCACTGTTGTGGCTTTTCCGGTTGCGGAGCACGGGCCTTGGACGCGCAGGCTCAGCGGCCATGGCTCACGGGCCCAGCCGCTCCGCGGCATGTGGGATCTTCCCGGACTGGGGCACGAACCCATGTCCCCTGCATCGGCAGGCAGACTCTCAACCACTGAGCCACCAGGGAAGCCCCAGCACCTTATTTTTTATTACAGTATAATATGCTACACCCCCTCTCTGTATCCAACCCTTTCCTTCCTTTCCTGTTCACACTCATCATCACCAGGGAGCCATCCGTGAAGAATTGTTGTTTTCTTAATCCCGCCTCATTCTCTGAGCCCCGGGGATCGGATATGTCCTGCTCTGCCTGTCTCCCACGTTCCCCCCAGCAGGCAGCTGTGGCCTGGGGGTCACTGTTTCTTCAGCCCCAGTTTGCCTCTCTTCCAGTCTGAGGTCGAAGCTCTGGCTGAACAACTGAGTGAGGACGAGGAGGAGGACGAGGAGGACGAGGAGGACGAGGACGAGGAGGACGAGGAGGACGAGGACGAGGATGAAGAGTCAGGCAATCAGTCTGACAGGGTAGAACTGGAGGCTGGCGTCCCCGGAGGAGTGGGGGCTTCGGGGACAGAGGTCTGAGTCCTCAAAGGAGGGGGTTATGGGCTGGGGGCTGGGCTCTTTAACGC